AGTTTATTTATTTCTTCCACAAGTGAGAGATTCAAAGATAGACAGACAGATGGGGACCAGCAGTTGGCATAATGACTATGTTGCTGGACTCCCATGTAGTTGACTGCAGCTTGAGTCCTGGACTCAGTGGCTTAAACTCACATTGGGTGTGTGTGTGTGTGTGTGCATGCTCAAGATCCTGAGAGGAGAATGGAAGAGTAGGGATTGCAACATGACCATCCCCCCTGGGGGGTGATTTCTTGCTTTCTGTCTCTGTGTCTTTCTGGAGAGCACACACACCCTATATTAAAAAAAAAAGAAAGAAAGAAAAAAGGAAGAAAAGGAAAGGCAGAGATAGACAGAGAGACAGCACACCCAACAGGGTCTAGATGCCACAGTCCATTCCCAATCTCAGGCAGCCCTAGATCATGGGCATGTGTGTGCCTGGCATACTCAGGGAGGACTCTGAACATGAATCCAGAATCCTCCCACATTGGTCAACCTTGCAGAGCATTGCATTTACCACCATGCCATTGTTCAGCTCCCAAATGATTTTATTTTAAAAATGGTTCATAAAATTTATATTTCCTTCATATGTAAACCCTTTCTGTGTGTCTATATATAGACATACTCATTTATGTATAAATACACACGTAAATATGTATAATGTACATTATATACAAGCACCAGTTATATAATGATAGTAAAAGGGAAGCATGCCTACCATCCAATTTAAGAAACAAAATATAATTGCCACATTTGAGACCTCTTGTACATCTGTTTCCAATCTCATATGCACCAATCCCCCACCCTGGGATTCTATTTTAAATTTTCTATTAAGTATACTTATATCATTTGATAGTCATACCACAAATGTCTGTATCTTGAAATAATATTATTTAATGTCACTTTTTTGACTGACAAATGAATGGAATCTCACTGACCCTATTTTTCTGTGTGTGTTTTTTCCTTTTCCGCCTCTCTCTCATGGTGTTTTTTTTTTTTTTTTTGATTGCAGTCCTTTTTTTTTTCACTGTGGTATTTATTTGTCCTTTATACTCTTTATGAACATCTAGGTTGCCTTTCATTTTTTCCCGTTACAAACAGTGCTGCTATAACATTTTTATTCATGTCTCCTGGTACATAGGTACAAAAGCTTTTCTGCTGTTTACCTTGAACTGGAATTGTGGACTTGCTGGTTATACTGTCAATAATAGCTTAGTATGTCTACATTCATTGATGGTTACTACCTATATTGATTATTTCACATTGAGTTGCAAAATGCTGATATTCCAACTCTGTCACTCCTTTTTCCTTTATTAGCTAGAACATTTCTATGAAGGGAAACGTTCCTCTCATGTACTATTTATGGGGCCATCAGAAGTGCTTTTCTATGTAAAGATGTGTCATGACTTTTCTGACAGTCCAATAGATAGGTAATAACTGATGCACAAAAAAGAAAATCTAAGATGACAAAGATTGTGTTTTTCATATCTCTGCTTCTGCATTTTATTAATAGGGTTCCCTGACATAGAAGGCATTTGGGTAGCTGGATGAATAAATTAAACATCTAATATTTTAAGGTTAAAAAGAAGTTTGTCTTGGACTTGTGCACATATATTCGAAAAGGCAAGTATTTCTTCAACAAGACAAAAAGTGGAATAAATTAGGAATAAAGTAATAGGACAAACGTTCACTTGTGATTTGTAAAATCAATGTTCTTATTTTATAGTCATACCTTATAATTAAGAGAATTAGCTAACTGTCTTACAGAAATGTTTGTACTTTCTCATACATTTCTCAGAGAATTTTCTAGAAGTTTTCCACTATTAGCTTGGCATTTAATTGTCAAACTTGAAGTAGTTTCAAGGTATTTTTATAACTGTTGTCCACTATTTTCAATATTATCAATGTATTTAATATTTCAAAAATCCTAAGTAAATTCCTATTTTTCATAAAAGAATTTACTGGTAACTTGAAAGCTTCTAGTTTGGAATTATTAGACTTCCAGGAATACACAAAGTGAAATGTTGATTTTTTTTATCTATCAAAACAAAAAATGATTATTTTCCAGTCTTTAAAAAATAATTATTTATAAAACAGTAACAAAAAGTCCCCAAATCAATATCTGTGGAATTCTGTTGTTTCTACTGCTTCATGCTAGGAGGGGCTTAAACATACACAATTACATAAACAAACATGTCAAACAAAAAAACATTCAAGGCAAGGAGCTTTATGCTCTCATAATGCTTCTTACAAAGTTGTTCACATATCATGCTGTTAATAAATCTTCATTAGCTATATGAACACCTATAACTTGCCACAAAACCAAAGTTCTTGACAGATAAGTCTTTGGCAGCATTAACTGGCAGGACTTAGACAAGCAAGAGTTTTTTTCTCAGTCCTTACTTGAGTTTTACTCCCTCAGATCCTCACTGCATGTTCTGAACCAGTATTGCTGCTAAGGTCAGTCAGTGGAGCAGCAGCAATGCAAGTGGACCCACATTGGAAAGGTCATGGATGCATGACCCAGGTCAGCTGAAACTGGGGGTGGATCATGGCATGAAGACCTGGTTGAGGGTATCTGTCTTTCTCTCATGAAGAAGTAAGCTTTGTTTTAATTATTAAAAAATGAAGGGAACAAAGGGTGGCACTGTTATAAAATGCATTGCTGTGTAAAGGCTATCCTATATGGGAAGCTTCTTGGTTCAAGTTTAAAGACTTCCCTGAGGATGCCAGATATGTACTTGGTTATGACTGAAGGCTGGCCAAAAACTGAGGGCAGATTGCCACACTGAGACCCTGTGTGTGTGTGTGTGTGAGGGAGAGGGCTGTGTTTCTCTCTCTCTCTGCCTCTCTCACTCATGAAAAAAATAAATACATGAATTTAAAAAAATAAGTATAATGGGGCCAGCAGATGGCATGGTGGTTAGGGTGCTGGACTCCCATATGGCCGACCACAGTTTGAGTCTCAGACCTGTCTGTTTGCTTTCTCACTTTCCCTTTCTCTCTTTGTCTCTCTCTAGTCAAATTAAGAAATAACAATAATAACAAATAAAATTAAGTAAATACATTATTACTTTTAAAAATTAGTATCACTGTAGTATAATCAAGTAGTGTCAAGGGAAGCATAATGCAAGTTCAGCGAAACACATTATGATTCTAAAACCCTCTTGTCTAATATTTATGTAACTATATCTTTCTGCCTTTCAAAGTAAAAAATCCCAGCAGCAACACAAATGGACAAACATCAGAAATAGCACAGCACTGGATCACTCTACTTTTATGGAAGGGGATTTCTCATGTCCCATGATGGCAACAGTAACTGTTTACTGCACTGTACACAATCCCAGGGAGTTCCTAACACACTGTACTGGTGTCTGCTATCAGGGAGTCCTCTGTGTTCAGGTCAGCAGAGAGGTGGAAACTAATCCTGGTTGTCAATTAGCATTACTATCCACCCAGTCTTGGAAGGCAGCTACTCAGTCTCAGAATACATTTTCCTACTTCTCTTTACAAAGATTAGTTTTAAAACATATATTTCAGAAAAATGCGAGAGTACACTTTCATTTCACATTCGTGCACTGTGTTTAACATATGAACTTACACAAGAATGTCTTCATCATTGTCATCAACACTAGCTGTACTCAAACAAAATGTGTGAAATAAACTATGTAAAATATTCAAATGAGTAGCACAAAAATCTAAATAGGTGCTTACAACTACAAAATCACACAACGATTACTTACACCATTTATTTCACACATATACACACACACACACACACACACACACGTACACCCCATTTACCTTTTTAAATGTATTTAAATTTACAAAGTGTTTTATGACTCCTCAGGAAGCAATGTGATCACTTTTCATTTAGCATAAAATATGTTTTGAAAAGGTGATTGAATATTTATTTTATTTTATTCTAGTCACTGCATGATATGGTATACTTTGTTGCCAACACCGAAAAGCCCATATGAAAACATTTGGTGCTGATGCAGGAATAATAGTAATTAGTGATGAGACAGAAGAAAAGAGAGAGAAAAAAAAATCTCACTGTGGAAAAAATGTAAGAAGGAAGCAGAGGCTTTCGAAAGTAGTTAAAGAACCATCACCTACCAGTTCTACTCGTCCGAAACCTCCAACGCCGAGGGTGTCAATGATGTTGAAATCAGACAGCTTCAGGTTGGCGAAGAAAGCAGCTTCGGCTTCATATCTGGAGTTTTTGATGCGAAAAAATGGAAATTTCTTAGAGGTGCAAACACGACTACCACGTACAACGGTACCGGAATGACACGACTGTGGGACAGGGTTTACCTGCTGAAATTCCATCTTGCTTTTAGAGTCTATGTTTTCTCACACTCATAACTGTTTTGGTCCCAGGAGTGCAGAAGAACATAAATGTGCACTTGTTTTTCAAAGTAGAAAAATACAAAGTACCCACTGCATGCCAGTCAAGGGACTGATAAATCCAGCTATCAAATCAAAGTGACATCTTGGTGTTTTCCTACGCGTCTTCTTGTAAACACGGGTTGTCTGAGTTGTTCTTTTTTGGTTTGGTTTGGGAGTTTTTGGTTTTGCTTGGCTTTGTTTTTGCCGTTCAGATTCTGGATGGCAGTTGCTCATTAGTTTCTCTTATCCACACGCTGGCAGCGCCTCCTCTAAATATGTGTTAAAAGCGGCAAGATCATGGAGGGCTCGGGGGGCAAACTCACAGCCAGGTTTTAAGGAAACAGATCCGAGAAGCTGAGGAGTGATGTGCAAATGTCTGAAATGGATGATTTCGGGAGCATAGTCACATTCCTAAAAGTATCTTCCCTTCACTCACATTTACCCACTGAGCCATAGCCAAAACTCAGCTTGCAATCCAGCATCTTTGTTTGCAAGTGTCTTATATGAGTGATGGGGAGAAGCTTGGACTAATGTTCCAAAAATTTAACGATGGACACATGCAAACCTGACACATGCAAGTGGCCAAAATAAGCTTCTCCTAATGGGATCAGTGAATATGAGCTGCTTAAAATATCTCCTTGTTAAAAGCCCTACTATTTTTAGAAAGGGCAGGAAGGCATCAAGAGGAATATGATCTGCCCACTCACTAGAGTCAGGCCAGGGAAGAACTCAGCTGTCTCAAAACTAAAGTACGTATTTGAGTAGCTATGCCTAACCCGTGGCCTTCTGCCCCCAGTACCTGACTGAGGACTGTACTATAGATAGAAATGATGCACACACTCCGGGCAATGACACCAACACAGCGTGTTTATATTTATTTTTAAATAGAATAACGGACAGACAACTCTGGTGTTAAGTTCTGTAACATTTTAGCTATTTTAGTATAATCAAATGCCAATTCAGACTTTCAGCTTAGGAGACATGGAACAGCTTTCTGGGAGAGCCTTCAAGTCTTCTACTGACAATCACAGTTCTAGTTTTTTAACAAGTTAGTTGTTGACTGATTCGGAGGATAAAAACAACACTGTTTTAATTTCATTTTATTACTGGCTGGTTATATGAAAACAACTCACTCTAATAAACTCCTACAAACAAGGTTGCTACTCTACCCTAATGGTATCTGTAGACTTTTCCATTTACTGCATAATCAAGAGATCAACATAGCAATCCAGGAGATGGTTTACTGAGATGGAACGTAAGCAGCAAATGGGCATTTTCAGCATTCCAACTGGCTCACTGCTTTGGGAAAATTAAAATTCCATCCCATTTAAAGGGCCAGTGGCAGACTTGACTTCAACAGGTGGTTAGACAGAACATCTGTTGGGATCTGATTCTGTTACAGTTTACATGTGGTCAAGCATTTCCTGGCAGTCTAGATTACCAAATCCTTAATGAGATTGTTATCGAAAAATCATCTATGTGTTTGTTGGACTTAGAGTTCTCAGCCCTGAAGAGAGAAAACTAAGTCCATTTTGATACCATTTTATATATTTAAAGTATGGCAATATTACTTATAAATCCTTGAAGACTCTACCTCCCCAATTCTTCCATTCAGGTTTGTGAACTAGGCTGGAGTACACGTAAGTGAGTGGAGTGATTCTCAGGCCTCTGCTATACAGCAGAGCTATGTCAGTGTCTTTCAAAAGCATTTCATTTGAGCTCACTGCAGATGAAGCAAATCAGAAATTTTTAGAGGTGGTTCCCAAACACCTATACATATTTTTAAAGCTCTTGGTGATTCTGATACACAACAAGGATTGAAAAGCATAGTTCTAAACTTCTGAAAGTCTCAGGAAGTTCCAGAAGTTATACAAAAGTTTTGGAATTCATTGAAATGGGCCCAGGAGATAAGTAGCTGCCCAATAAGTCTGAGGGTGATAAATTCTTTTTGTTGTTGTTGTTTTTTTTTTGAGAGGTTTTTGCTATACGGTGTGTGTGCTCTCCAGACAGACAGAGACAGACAGAGAGACGGAAAGCTAGAAATCACCCACCAGAGGGGATGGCCATGCCACAATCCCTTCTCCTCCATTCTCCTCTCGGGATCTTGGGCATGCACGCACATGCACCCGGCGTGAGTTTAAGTCACTGGGTCTGGGCCTCAAACCGTGTTTGACTACGTGGGAGTCCAACGACATAGCCATTACGCTAACTGCTGGTCCCTAAGGGTGACAAATTCTGGAGCAAGGGATGGGGACCACGTTTTTGCCACAGTTTGAGTCCCAGACCCAGTCTCTTGAAACTCAGGCTGGGTGCATGGGTATGTGTGCCCAAAATCCTGAAAGGAGATAGGAGGAGAAGAGATTTTGGTGTGGCCAACCCTCCTGAGGGGTGATTTCTCACTTTCTCTTTCTCTGTCTCTCAGGTGAGCACAAAAACCCTGTAGTAAAAATCTCTCTTGAAAAAACGAATTGCTAAAAAATGGCAGATATATGGTGCAAAAGTTACACAGTGGTTACTTTGTGTTTGTATGTCTTCAACAAAGTCCTTGACTTTATAGTAGTATTTGGTATTTAAACTAATGAGGCGGCCATATTAAATAGTAGACATTTTATCTTTAGTTATCAAAATCCATTTAAATACATAACTTCCCCGTACACTAAAACACCAATCAATTAAAGGACATATTTTACATGCTGGTAACAACACTGTAAAAGAAAAGTTCAATATATCCAGACCTAAAAGAGTATACCCTGTAAGGATCAGCAGTTGAGTGCGGTTTCTAATTACCATGGCCCAGAAGAGTCTATCAGGCATGTTCGAGAAATGATATATTTTCTCTGCTTCCTTCACCCAATACACTATTCTCTTGCTGTACAGTTATTTCTGCCTTATTAACCTGTTTTACAGCTTTGTATGCTCCCTGTAGTTATAAACATAAAGAGATGTCAGCATTTGCACATTTCTGAGAAGACGATTGATAGCTTTTATCTTATACTAAAATACTACTACTAAAAATGATTTCTAAAAATAAGTGTTTCAAACTAAGCTAAAGAGTATTAAAGAACAAATGTAGATTCCTTTGTATATTCCTTGTTATGTTTTAAGCAACCAGGCCACAGGAACTTTATTTCTTACTGAAATGCATTTTTTAGTACTTTACAATGTCCTATTTTATTTATTTATTTTTTTGTTGAGGGTTTTGCCTTAAGGCATGTGCACTCATCTGGAGAGAGAAACAAACACAGTGAGAGGGAAAGTGAGAAATCTCCCCCTCCTCCCCCAAGGGGGATGGCCACACCACAATCCCTTCTCCTCCATTCCTCCAGTCTCTTCTCAAGATCTTAGGCATATACACACATGCACCTGGTGTGATTTTCAAGCAACCAAGTCTGGGACTTGAACCATGGTTGGTCATGTGGAAGTCCAGCAACGTAACCACTATGCCACCTGCTGCTCCCTACAACTATCTTCTTATAAACACTTTGGGGACCAGCAGTTAGCGTAATGGCTATGTCACTGGACTCCCACATGGTTGACCGTGGTTCGCGTCCTGGACCCGGTGGCTTAAAACCCACGTTGGGCGCGTGTGCGTGTTTGCCGAAGATCCCGAGAGGAGAATGGAGGAGAAGGGATTGCAGCGTGGCCATCCCCCCTAGGGGGTGATTTCTCGTTTTCTGTCTCTCTGTCTCTGTCTGTCTGGCGAGCGCACGCGCCCTATGGCAAAAACCTCTTTAAAAAAAAAAAAAACACTTTGCACAGAAAGATGTTAGAATTGTTTGAAGCTGGGCCTAATTCCTTGGATCTGGTACTCCACAGAAATAAGTTAGTTTGTGTTGTATATTCACCTCCTTCAGGCAAAAAAGATTGATTAATAGAACAACAGCCATTTTCCTAACCATTTTAGTTCTCTTCCCCTCAAACTTTCATCAGTTCTAGAGAAAATAGAACTTAATCGGTAGATTCTAATTCTTTTCAAACGATCCCAGAATAAAGGTAAAGAAAGAAAATGTCCCTCCAAGTTATGAGCAAGAATCAAATACCAGAAGAATCTAAATCACTTGGAGCTTAGCTTCTTTATAAAGGTCTATCAGGCCAGTGGTGGTGTGGTGATTAAGGTGCTGGATCCCACAAGGCCTACTCCATAGTTCAAGTCCCAGATCTGGAGGTCTGAAAAAACACACTGGGTGCATGTGTGTGACCAAAATCCTGAGAGGAAAATGGAGAAGGCTGTCGCTCCGCCATGACTATCCCTCCTGGGGAGAGATTTCTCCCTCTCCCTCTCTCTCTCCACCAAGTACATACACCCTATGGCAAAAAATAAAAAGAAATTAAATTGAAGGGACCAGCAGATGACATAATGGTTATGTCGCTGGACTCCCATGTGGTCGACCACAGTTCAAGTCCTGGACACAGCAACTTAAAACCACGCAGGGGAAAAAAAATACTTAATTCAGAAAGGAAAGGGTACAGAGTCTGTGATAAATATCTTACTCTTCTTAAAAATAATCTAAGTGAGAGGAAAATAAATAAATATAAAATATTAAGCAACTTAAACATTACCTTGGTTAGAAAAGAGACATAACTATTGTTATAGCTCTATGTTTATTGACTTCCCCCAAACCAGGATTTAAAACAGATAGGAACAGAATGAAGGATCAAAAACAAAATTATTCAATGGTGTTTTTAAAAATATATCTTACCAGTAACAAGATAAAATTATCCAACTAAGTAATATTCCTAAATGTTAGTATTTTAAAATTTTACATCATACTACTAGCAAGGAATTAGCAAAGATTACCAAAATATGATTACGATGAATTATATTTTTCA